CCCCCCCCCCCATAAATCTACCTACCCACTTTATTTTCATTATACCCATTCATAGGCTTGCCAGAATTGTTTCCACTCCAACCATCTGTGTTCAAGAGGCAGGAATTCATCAAGTACAGCTTTTTACAGCCTGGAAATGCAAAACCGCACCTCTTGAACTTCATAAGTATCAAGAAGTAAATACACAGGAACTTTGAAAACTCAGAAAGTTGACAGCCCTAGTGGAAATATTCCCCTTTAAATTTCTATCACCTTGCTTTTTTCAAGTAAATGGAAGAGGTGATGAACCATTTTAGAGATGAGAACATTAGCCTGCTGCCACACTGCAAAATGAATGCAGTTTGACACCACTTTAACTCTTGTGGCTCCATCCTATGGTATCCTGGGCTTTGTAGTTGTGGCACCAAAGCTCTCTGACAGAAAAGGCTAAATATCTCACAAAAATACAAATTCCAGAATTCCATAGCATTGAGCCATGGAGGCTAAAGCGGTGCTGATGCAGGCAGTCCAGTGCCAGATGAAGCCAAGAAGTTACCAAAAGCTATTTCCCTCTTACAAAAAACAGAAGATGAGGGAGCATTTTACCCGACAGTAAGGCTGCAGCCCAAAACGTATTCACCAGTGTGGTGCAGTGGTTTGAATGCTGGACTAGGGCTCTGGGTTCAAATCCCCATTTGGTCATGGAAACCCACTGGGTGAACATGGGCAAGTCACACTCTCTCAGAGGGAAGCAAAGTCAACTCCCTTCTGACAATCTTGTCAAGAAAACCCACTTATAGGTTCACCATAAATTGGAAATGACTTAAAGGCACACAACAACAATAGCAACAAGCTCCATGGAGCTGAATTGAGCTTACTTCTGAGTAAAGAAAAGTATTGTAGCCTTAAGGATCAGCATAGCTCATATTCAGGAGTAAATCCCAGAGTACAATAAAACTGATGCCTCGGAAAATGTGTTTAGGAGTGTTGTTTGTGTCTGTTGTTGTTAGATGCCTTCCAGTTGACTTTGACTCATGGCAACCCTGTGGATGAGACATCTCCAAGACCTCCTGTCCTGCACTGCCCTGCTGGTGTGTGTGTGTTGTGTACCATCAGGTCTTTCCATCTTATGGCGACCTATACGAGAAGTCCTGCAAATTCAGGCCCATGATTTCCCTGATTGAATCCATCCATCTGACCTGCAGTCTTCCTCTTTCTGCTGCCTTGTACCTTTCCTAGCATTATTGTCTTTTCCTGTGATTCATGCCTTCTCATGATGTAGCCAAAGTACAACAGCTTCAGTTTCATCATCTTTGCCTCCAGGAAGAATTTG